CACACACACACACACTCTCTCTCACACACACACTCACACAAACACACACACTCTCTCACACACACACACACACACTCTCACACTCACACGCACGCACGCACGCACGCGCACACACACACACACACTCTCTCTCTCTCACACACACACTCTCACACAAACACACACACACTCTCACACACACACACGCATGCACACACACACACACACGCACACACACACACACACACGCACGCACGCACGCACACACACACGCACACTCTTGCACTCACACACTCACACACACACATGTGACGGTTTCCGTCTTTCTAACTGATTGATTCAATGTATTTGATTGTTAAAATGACTAAATATTCAGGTTTTCGTCACCACCGTCAGATAAAAATAAGAGAAAAGTCAGGAGGTTGCATCAAAGCATAGCTCAGTAGTGTAGAACATATACTAAGATACATAAATGTAGTTTCATTTTTCTGAGTACAAGGTTTTGTTTTTTCAGTATTGCACCCTGTTTCTCACGAATCAGTGAGCAGTGTTTGTGGTCTGATCGTGTGAGGTTTGCTCTGAACAGCTGTATTCATGTCAAATGTCTGTCAGTTAATGCTGTAATTACTGCTCCCGACCGAGGGGAAACCTTGAGGTGCACCTAAAACAGACGTCTGCAGGTGTGCCATTGAGATTTCATTCGTTTACAAGGGAAACAAATAGTATAAAATGAAAGATTAAACACTGTTTTTTTTTAGTTTTATGTCTACGTGTTATGTCATGTATGTAATAATTAATGATATGCAGGAGTTTTATTTCTTAACTGTACTTGTTAGTTAACATGGACTACAATGGAAAATATTTCTACAGCATTTATTAATCAATGCTAATTTCAACATCTTCTAATACAATGGGAACTAACATAAACAATGAAAAGTTGTGTTTGTATGAACTAAGAATGGTTCATAAATGCTGTAAAAATATTTTGACCATTGTTAGTTCAAACTAAAATACTGTGAAACATATTTTATTGGATTGTGCTGTTTTTAATGTAAATAGACAACGGTTTCATTCAGAGGTGTGTCTAACTGATGCATCACCTGAATGTATTTTAGCATTTCCGTCTAGTGTACGTCTGAAATGTCTTTTATAATCTTTTGTTAATTGTATACCTTGTATAATTTATTCAGAGGTCGCCATAAAAATAGCATTGATGCTGGCATGGCGTTAAAAAGTGAATAAATAAATAAATCATTGTTAGTTAATGCATTAACAAATGAGACTTCACTATAAAGTTTTATCATAAAATATATTGTGCAGTGAAATGTATATCTAGATTCTGGACTGTGCATTAATTCATAAAGGATCAACAGAGGAATAGTAATGAAAGCACAAGTAAATCTGCAGCAGTGCAAATACTGTATGACTGTATACAGTAAAACCGAGACGGCAATAACAAGTATTAAGATGCACAGAGAATGTGCAAAAACATGTAAGTAGAGTTGTTAGTGGACTAAATGGGTGCACGCTGATTTATGGCATGTCTGGTTTGTTTGTGTAGAGTTTGCGTGCGGTCCAGTTAACAGCCTGTAAGTGTGTTCTCCATCAGTCTCTGTGTTTTCTGTCTTTCAGACGCGCAGAGGCACTCGTGGAGCTCATGAAGACTGAACGGGATGGGGACGGTGTGCTGGAAGGTGAGACGCGATCGGGCGAGTCTCTAGGGCTTCTGTCCAAAATGCATCAGGAAAACCAGTGCTGCCTCAGTTCTTAAAGCTTAAGGAAATGCAGTTATTGAAGTTGTTTTAACACTAATTTGGACTTCAGTAATACTGCTGGCCAGACGGTAACTCACTAGACATTTAGAGAAGTTGACTAGTGAGTTTAGTATACTAGCAGTGGTGCATTTAAAAGTAGTTTTTTAATCCGAGGCATTTGTTGAATGTCAAGAATCTTCCCGTGACTCTTTACTACAGATCAGCCCATATGGGCTTTTTGATGGCTGATATTTTAGAGAGCAGGTGGCCAGTGCTTGATATAAAGCAAATGTGTGTCCCTGGAGCACAGAAGTAGTCTTAAGTAGCACAGGTGTATTTGTAGCAATAGCCAACAATACATTGTATGGGTCAAAATTATACATTTCTCTTTTATGCCAAAAATCATTAGGATATTAAGTAAAGATCATGTTCCATGAAGATATTTTGTAAATGTCCTACCGTAAATATATCAAAACTTTATTTTTGATTAGTAATATGCATTGCTAAGAACTTCATTTGGACAACTTTAAAGACGATACAGGGTTATCCCTGGTTATACAGGGCTTCTTGAACGCTAACTAGTAGTGTAATTAAATGAGTGTGTGTGTGAAAGTGCGTTTCGTAATTAGCTGTCGTAAGCCTCAGAGGAAGTGATCTCTGCGTTTACTGCCGTCGTTTCCTCGTGTTTTACTGTGCTCATGATGTCCTATCCGTGTTTATGATGTGTCATATTCTCTGATGAACTCTCTGGCTCTGCTGGATCCTCACGAGCAGATCCTGGGCGCTCCTGGGTTTGATGATAATGTCAGTCATGGGTGTAAATGTTGGCTGTTGTTATATTACAGGAGTGTTCAGCGGCTCGTGTGACTGAAGCGTGTTTCTCCATCACATCGCTCTGAACACTCTTGTGAATCTCTCCAGCTCGCGTCTCTGTCTGATGTGTGTTGTACCGCTGTGTTTCAGAGAGCAGCTCACAGGAGCCTGAGCTCTACAGCCCTGCGTCTCCCGGCCCGCAGCAGGAGCCCATCTCCACATACTTCGAGGAGAAGGTTCCCATCCCTGAGGATGACATGACTAAGGTACCTCAGACGGAACGACTGAACAATCATTCTGTTCAACAATACAATCCGCATTTGCTCTGTTTATATTTTTGACTTCAGACTTCTCATCAAATACACTAGTAAACCAAACTAATGTTATTATAATAAGCCAAGAGTACATCAGTCCAGATGATTCCATGTTGAAGGAATACTTCACCCAAAAATAAAAGGAGCTGTAAATGTGCTCATCCTCGGGCCATCAAGATCAGGGTGAGTTTGTTTCTTCATCAGGTTTGTAGAAATGTAGCACTGCATCACTGTCTCAGCAATAGATCTTCTGCAGTGAATGGGTGCCGTCAGAATGAGAGTCCAAACAGCGCCCTGTTTACACTAGTGCGTTATAGTTTTAAAACGCAGAACTTTTGCTACGGTTACGCCTGTCGTTTAATCTACTCCGGCGTTTTCGACCTTCGAAAACGGAGACTTTTGAAAACGCTGCAGACCCCGTTTTAGATTGAAAAGGGGTTGTGTTTCAGTGTAAACGGAGCGAAACGGAGACTTTTGAAAACGATGGCGTGGCTGCCCACAGTCGCTCTGCGTATCCTTGATGACCGCGTAAACAATAACATCATGCTCATTGTTGTACCCATAGATATGTATAGGTAGATTCCTCATTCGACCGCTCCAAGCACGCATCTAAATAATAGGGCATCTACCTCTACATATCTATGGTTGTTCCTGCATGAATGGTCATGTGACGTGCATTTTCGGTTGTGTAGTGTAGATCGTTTCTGAAACGCAGTGAAAGCGCCAGTGTAGACGAGGATCGTTTTCAAAACGCACTAGTGTAAACAGGGCCTCATTCTGACGGCACCCATTCACTGCAGAGCATCCATTGCTGAGACACTGATGCAGTGACACATTTCTCCAAATCTGATGAAGAAACAAACTCATCCTCATCATGCATGGCCTGAGAGTGAGCACATTTACAGCAAATGTTCATTTTTGGGTGAAGTATTTAAAGAAGGTGAAGATGTGACCTCTGCTGTGGTAGTTCCAGTGTAGACCGACTCAGACGGTAACTGTAATGAGAGTGTGTTTGGGCATCAACCAGATTCACTTTGAGACGAGTCCCTGATTTAATTATCAGACACATTCTGCAGGCATATCTTGCCATATTAAATGACCTTTCACCATCATAATCCAGAAATGTGACAGGAAACAAATGTGATAGGCAGGTTATGGCACTGCAGTTTTATGAGCATGACCACCGTTATCAGGTGTGCGTATGTGAGAAAGCTGATGGGTAAGAAAAGTGTTTTATCAGATTGTGATGTTTATAATCATTAACTCATGAATCCAAACAACAAGACGGACCTTGATTTCCTCAAACAAGAGGAAGAGAAACAAGCGGAAAAATAAACAAATGCAAAGTGTTACGAAAACAGCACTGGCATCCCGCTCTGTGGACACTCGTCATGTGACCTTCAGAGGACACAACTCAAACCGCTGTCTTTATTACCTGTGACCTCAAGGCTGCTGTGGGACCATCAGTGTTGTCACGAACACATTCTCCAGCTCAAAGCCGTTCTGGGTCTCAGATCTCAGACCCAGCTGCTGTCGAGAGGAATGTGATGAACTCTTTGGTTAACATGTGTTACTCTTCCTCTCTCTAGCTGTTTAGCTTTCGTAAACTCTGGGCCTTCACTGGGCCGGGCTTCCTGATGAGCATCGCCTATCTGGACCCTGGGAACATAGAGTCGGATCTTCAGTCTGGGGCTAGAGCGGGCTTCAAGGTGAGGCATGTCCAGCATCTGCACTCAGCTGGACAACTCTGCGGTCAGTCCTAATGTTGCTGATCACATTCACACAGTTTCTGTGTAGAGATGCAGTCATCACCGGATGGAAATCGTAAAGAATCGAAGGATTCTGCCGCCAGTTCGGATTCCCTTTAATGAATCTGCTCCTGAATGACTCCATTAACGATGCTTTTGGCACTTTATATTGTGAAATATTAAAAAGGCAGTCTGTTGCCAAATTATGAGAGTCCCCTTCTTCCTCTATCAACACCAAGGTCACAGGTTCAATTCAGGAAAATGTCAAACTTACAAGTTTTGTAAACGTTAATCATTTAAAATTTCAACTGAACAGACATAAATCAGATATGCATATACACTATATTGTCAAACGTTTTGGGACACCTCCTTCTTTAGAACAGAAAAAGGCACTTCCAGAACTGTGGCAACAAAGATGGAAACATAATTCATGTATTTAAAATTGTATTTCCATCTCCGTTGCAACAGTTTTGGAAGTGCCTAAAATGACTGTACCCATATGTACAAATCATTGGTGGTTGGTGATAAGTTTTTGGCTCGAGGTCTGCATTTAAAGTCACACCAGAGGTGTTCAGACCAGTCAAGTTCTTCCACACTGACTCAATCAAGCAGTTCTTTTTGAACCTTGCCTGATACACAGAGGCATTGCCGTGTTAGAATAGAAAAGGGTCCTGTCCAAACTGTTGCTATAAAATTAGAAGCACACAATTCCCTAGAATATCATTATATGCTTCAACATTAAGATTTGTACTCATGGAAATGACTGTGTCTGTGTGTGTGTCTGTGTCGGTGTCTGTGCCTGTGTGTGTGTCTGTGCCTGTGCGTGTGTCTGTCTGTGCGTGTGTCTGTGCATGTGCGTGTGTCTGTGCCTGTGCGTGTGTCTGTCTCTGTCTGTCTGTCTGTGCGTGTGTCTGTGTCTGTGCGTGTGTCTGTGCCTGTGCGTGTGTCTGTCTCTGTCTGTCTGTCTGTCTGTGTCTGTGTCTGTGCGTGTGTCTGTGCGTGTGCGTGTGTCTGTCTCTGTGTGTCTGTGCGTGTGTCTGTGTCTGTGCGTGTGTCTGTGCGTGTGCGTGTGTCTGTCTCTGTGTGTCTGTGCGTGTGTCTGTGTCTGTGCGTGTGTCTGTGCGTGTGCGTGTGTCTGTCTCTGTGTGTCTGTGCGTGTGTCTGTGTCTGTGCGTGTGTCTGTGCGTGTGTCTGTGCCTGTGCGTGTGTCTGTCTTTGTGTGTCTGTGTCTGTGCGTGTGTTTGTGTGTGTGTGTGTGTGTGTCTGTGTCTGTGTGCGTGTGCGTGTGCATGTGTGTGTGTGTGTCTGTGTCTGTGCCTGTGTGCCTCTGTGTGTGTGTGTGTGTGCGCGTGTGTGTGTCTGTGTGTGTGCCTGTGTCTGTGTGTGTCTCCTGCAGCTGCTGTGGGTTCTGCTGGGTGCCACCATCATCGGGCTGCTGCTGCAGCGTCTGGCCGCTCGTCTCGGTGTCGTGACCGGGATGCATCTGGCCGAGGTCTGCAACCGTCATTATCCTACGGTGAGCTCCGGAGAAATACTGCACCTTCTGCTGTTTGGCCACTCGACAATTTAATAACCAGTTCAGCAAACTTTATTTATATAACACTAATAACTCTTTCATTCATTTTACACTCATTACTATTCAAAAGTTTGGAACAATCAAGATTTTTAAAATGTTTTCCTTTAGTCTCTTCTGCTCACTGAGACTGCATTTATTTGATCAAAAATACAGTAAATTAGTGAAACGTTATTTCATTTTAAAACAGCTGTTTTCTATGTGAATATCTGTTAAACTGTCATTTATTTCTGTGATGCGCAGCTGTATTTTCAGCATCATTACTCCAGTCTTCAGTGTCACATGATCTTCAGAAATCATTCTAATATGCTGATTTGCACGTCTTCAGTGTCACATGATCTTCAGAAATCATTCTAATATGCTGATTTGCTGCTCAAGAAACATCTCTGATTATTATCAATGTTGAAAACAGTTGTGCTGCACAATATTTTTGTGGAAACTGATACATTTTATTTTTCAGAATTCACAGATGAACAAAATTCAAAAGAACAGCATTTATTTGAAATATAAATCTTTTGTCACATTATAAATGTCTGTACTGTCACTTTTGATCAAATTAATGCAGCCCCGATGAATAAAAGTATGATAAGAATGATTTCTGAAGATCATGTGACACTGAAGACTGGAGTAATGATGCTGAAAATACAGCTGCGCATCACAGAAATAAATTACAGTTTAACAGATATTCACATAGAAAACAACTATTTTACATTGTAATAACGTTTCACTATTTTACTGTAATTTATTTATTTTGCATTTATTTGATGAGACTTAATAATAAAATTTAAAAACACTTAATTACTCCAACGTTTTGACTGGTAGTGCACGAACACAAATGAATGCAACTGTAAAGAACAGTAATAAATAATCAGAACATTTTCAGAAATCTTATCTGGCATGATTAAAATGCAAAAATGTATTCAAATGTTTGAAAACAAATATTAAGTCTGAATAAGTGTTGTCTGATAAACACCAAAATTGATGCAAAAATCTGGAAGACTGTTTGAAAACATGTAAATGCTCCTCGGTGAGCAGAAACAGAAAGCAGCGCAGTGTGTTTTGTTAGCAGGTGTAATCTGAGTCTTTCTCTAAGCGTCATTTACTGTCAGAGAGTGAATTTGCGCTTTCATTCAGCCGAACTCTCGTTCTGTGATGTTTAGGTGTTTACATCAGTGTGCGCCCCTTTTACACAGCACTCATGCAGTGTTGGTCAATCAAAAAAGTCATAAGATTTAAGATTTATTTATTAAGATCACGAGATCATAGAATTAATTTATTAGTGTTTTAAAGTTCCCACAGCAGTTTTGTGCGTGTTCATTACCACAGTGCATCATTATCAAATACCAGCACGTCTTCTGTTTTGTGAAGGCTGAGAGGTTGGTGTGTGTTTGTAACTGTGTATGGCGTGTCTGCAGGTGCCGCGGATCATCCTGTGGCTGATGGTGGAGCTGGCCATCATCGGCTCTGACATGCAGGAGGTCATCGGCTGTGCCATCGCCCTCAATCTGCTGTCGGTCGGCAGGTACGTCATCTTCATCATCTTCATCACGTGACTGACTCGCTTCATGTGTGCTTCAGCTGTGAGGATGATTAGCAGCTGACAATTATTCAAGTTTTTTTAATGCTAATTTATGTGGCACCAGCTTTTTTCTTTTTTTTTCTCAAAGCAATGGTTCACCCAAAAATGTCAAATGTGCTGAACATTTACTCACCCTCAGGCCATCCGTGATGTAGATGAGTTTGTTTCTTCATCAGGTTTGTAGAAATGTGTCACTGCATCAGTGTCTCAGCAATGGATGCTCTGCAGTGAATGGGTGCCGTCAGAATGAGACTCCAAACAGCTGATAAAAACATCACAATAATCCACTCCATGCATGGCCAAAATCATCCATAATAACGCTTCCTCCAGTGAAAAAGTGCATCTGCTGTTGTCTCTCACATCAAAATCCAGCCACATATTAGTTTAGAGCTGTTTAAACGCTGCTTGATCTGTGCAGATTTCTCTCCTGATTCACACCAGAACACTGACTCACTGGAGGAAGAGTTATTATGGATTATGAACTCTATGTATTTTGGTTAAAAACGTCTTAATGCTGGATTAGTTTCAGCTTTTGTCTTCTCCAGATGTTAACTGATGGACTGGAGTGCTGTGGATTACTTGTGGATTATTGTGATGTTTTTATCAGCTGTTTGGACTCTCGTTCTGACGGCACCCATTCACTGCAGAGCATCCACTGCTGAGACACTGATGCAATGCTGCATTTCTACAAATCTGATGAAGAAACAAACTCATCCTGATCTTGGATGGCCCGAGGATGAGCACATTTACAGCTCCTTTTCAGTTTTGAACTATTCTTTTAATAAACTGTTAGTTTAACCTGTTATTTGTTCAGAGTGATTTAAGGACACTAACCAGTTGTTCCTCTGAAAACAGCTGTAAATGTCATTCTGATAAGCAATAATGAGCTCCTCACAGTGTGAACTTGCAGTATGTTTGTTGCTGTCTTATATTGAATGTTTGAATTGATTGAGGATGTGTAGAAATGGAGCTCATTGATCTTGTTGATGCTCTTCTGCAGGATTCCTCTGTGGGCTGGAGTGTTGATAACCATCATTGACACTTTCGTCTTCCTGTTTTTGGACAAGTACGGTAGGTCTGCACTGAAGGAGCGTGAGAGTGATGGCACCGGCTCGTGTCGTGGCGCTAATGCGAGTGTCTGGTCTGTCTTCAGGTCTGAGGAAGCTGGAGGCGTTCTTTGGGTTCCTCATCACCATCATGGCCCTCAGCTTTGGTTACGAGGTTCAGTGCAGCTGCAGCATGTTGTCAGCAGGTGAGTGTGTAAGCGCTCGGCGTGTGACGTGTCTCTCTGCTCTGGTTGTCTGCAGTATGTGCGTGTGGCTCCAGACCAGGCCGAGGTGCTGAAGGGCATGTTTGTGCCGTACTGCAGCGGCTGTGGACCCACGCAGCTGGAGCAGGCCGTCGGGATCGTGGGAGCCGTCATAATGCCTCATAACATCTACCTGCATTCTGCTCTTGTGAAGGTCAGTGAAAGGCTCACATCACATGTATGTGGCCCTGGAGCACAGAAGCAGTCATAAGTAGCACAGGTATATTTGTAGCAATAGCCAACAATACATTGTATGGGTCAAAATTATCAATTTTTATTTTATGCCAATAGATAATAGTTGTATCTCGGCCAAATATTGTCCGATCCTAATCAATGGGAAGCTTATTTATTCAGCTTTCAGATGATGCATAAATCTCAATTTCAAAAAATGCACTCTTATGACTGGTTTTGTGCTCCAGGGTCACATGTGTATGAAGCCGTAGTTCAATGTAAATAAACCATTGTAGGATCAAACAATGAGATGCACATGTGTGAACCAGTTAAACGAATGATTAGGGCTGTCAAGCGATTCATATTTGAAATCTAGTTAGGCTAATTAATTATTCAATTGCATGATGTGCTGATATATTCATCTAATTAATTGCACATCAAAAAAATAGCTTTAGAAAGAAATATTTTGATTCTGCATAGAATTTATTACACATTAACTTTTAAGTCTACAATGTGGTCAAAACATTGTTTTCAGAAACTGCATCGTTAATGATCATTAGGTTCATTAATGCATTTACCCTGCAATTAGAATTACACAAGTTATGCTATAAGATTAATGGGTTTTAAAAAATTAATATTGAAATATTAAATGATTTAAAAATTGAAATTAAACTCTAAATATGAAACTAAAATTGCCAGTAGGTGATGGCAAGTCACTGTCTTAATGAGTGAGTCATTCATTCAACCGATTCCTTCAAGCAGCTGATTCATTCTAGAATTAAGTGAATCGATTCACTGAATCACTCGATTTAGAACTATTTTAGCTTGCGAACACAATATTACTTTCTTGTTAATTGAACTGTTGTATAAATCAATATCATTTTTTTTTTTTTGTCCTCCTATTTTGAGTTTTAGGCTCAGTTAACAGCATTCTAATAGACTCCTACATCAGATTCATCAGAAACTGAATCAATCCTTAATCATTTTAACACGTTATTTTCCCCATAATTAATCGCATCCAATTAATGCATTAAATCGACAGCCCTACAAGTATGCGCTGATTGGAAAGTGCTGCATACTTCATAATTTTGGTAAAATAAGTAAATGAATGAGTGAAAACTTGTTTGTGTATTATTTCTGTAATTAGATTTTAGATATTTTTTCGTCTGTTTGCCATGAAGTCCGTCTGATGTGTTTAATCAGTTTTTTCTTCGCTTCAGTCACGAGACATAAATCGAGCAAACAAGAAAGAGGTGAAGGAGGCCAACAAGTACTACTTCATCGAGTCCTCCATCGCTCTCTTCATCTCCTTCCTCATCAATGTGTTTGTGGTGGCCGTCTTTGCAGAGGCCTTTTATGGCAAGACCAACATGGAAGTGGTGAGCACTTTCACATCTACTTCCTGTTAGAGAGGTTTGCAGTGAGTGTTTCACATTTGAGCATAAATCTATAACTGCGCTCCATTGGTATTTTCTCTTCAGAGTCTGCAGTGTAATGAAACAGGAAGTGCTCACAGTGAGCTTTTCCCAGCCAACAATGAGACACTGGAGGTCGACATCTACAAAGGGGTATGATGCAAACCAACGCCTTACGCTGGATTGCTTGGATTAATCTCACTATGAATATATATCTACTAAATATGATAACCACACTGACGTTCATTAATATAAATGTGTATCTTGAACACAGTGTAAGTTGTTTTGGTTAAAAGCATCTGCCAAATGCATAAATGTAAAGGCTGTATGTATCCCATGACCGGAGGTGTTTGGTGACAGCGGACCTATGATTTCCACAATGCGGAAAACGCAGACGGAATTGCGGAATCCAGTCAAAAAAAACTGCATTTTCTGTTAAACGCGGAATGTCACGCAATTTGGCAAATTTTGGATGAGTAAATCAAAAGTAGGTCAGTACAGTGAAATCAAAACACGATATGGACAAGTGTCTGTTAATATTAAGGGTGTCTGCAAAAATACCATTTAAATATAAATCCTGATTGAATGACGCAGACGCGCGGTTTCCTTTACTACACACTCATACTGAAACACTGTGATCTCAGCCTATGAACACATGAACATAATCTCTAGAACTGCTCTGAGGGTCACTTCATGAGCATTTTACCGTTTCTTTTGAGAAAAACTTTCGTTATGTCATATACAGACAGAAACTAAAGGTTGACACAGCAAGCGGTCAAAATGAAAGTTTGGTTTAACTTGAAGAAATTGTTTCGGAAATATTACTTAATTTAATGATAGTACTAATACTGATAATAAAATTATTATTAAAACATTATTTGTTTACCAGAAAAAATATATACCGAATTTATTTAGCTGAAAACTTCATAAAACAGTATTTCTGGAAAAAAAAAGAAAGAAATAAAATAAAATAATTTTTTTTTTATAAGGTTGTTTAATTAGAGATGCTTTTGATTATCACCATTTAATGAAATCATTAAAATGGAATCCAGGTATTTGGTAAAAAATAATAATAATCAATTAAAAAAAAAAAAAAAAATGAATTTGAGAAAAAAAAATAAAACATTTCACAGGGCATTAAAATGTAAGTTTTGTCAAACTTTGAATAAATTACCTAAATGCGTTTAAGTTTGTGCGAATCATTCGTGATCCAGCTTCATCTGCAGAAGAAGTGAGTATAAGGGTTTTTAATGAATCTTTGCAAATCGCCTTTCCAGTCCAGTTTACAGTCTGCTGGTCACCCCATGGCAGAGAGGGGCGGGGTCAGCAGAGCTCATTAGCATTTAAAGGGACATGCACTGAAACGGGTCGCTGTGAACAGAGCTGATTTTGACAGGGTAAAAAGGGTGTTGTTTTACCCTACCACTGAGAAATTTTCACCAAAGTATGTTGTAGACTTTTCATGAAGACCCTAAAGAATCCTATCAGCTTGTGGAAAATGGGCATCCGATGACCCCTATAATTGTGTAAGTTTAATGATTTAATTAATCAATTAATCGATTAATTGGACATGCTTTTTGATTAATAAAAATTTAATTTAACCATTCAAACAGAGTCTAGAAAAAACGGAATCCAAAAAAATTAAAGTGTAAAAAAACTGAATTTGGAAAAAATAAAACGGATTTCATAGGTCCCGAAGCGCCACCTGTTGGTCAAAGTGTCATATTTAATGATTCAAATGTTAGATGTTATATTGAGTGAAATATTCATGTCATTTGTATGATGTTTGTGTGCTTGTGTTTGAAGGGTGTGGTTCTGGGCTGTTTCTTCGGCCCGGCTGCGCTGTATATTTGGGCCATCGGGATCCTCGCCGCTGGGCAGAGTTCAACCATGACCGGAACCTACTCGGGTCAGTTTGTGATGGAGGTATGTGGGTCTCCAGCCCGTTCGGTTCAGTGAATGGAGTGATGTTTGGGCATGTGTGAAGTCTGTCTGGCTCCTGCAGGGCTTCCTGAACCTGCGCTGGTCCCGCTTCGCTCGCGTGCTGCTGACGCGTTCCATCGCCATCTTCCCCACGCTCCTGGTGGCCGTCTTCCAGGACGTGCAGCATCTCACCGGCATGAACGACTTTCTGAACGTGCTGCAGAGCATGCAGGTACATGCATGCTCCGGCAGCTCTCCAGGGGGCGCAAAAATACTATACTAATTCCTAGTAAATACTATAGTGTTTTTGAACCATACTATAGTAAAGTGTATTTATTACACTGTATATATTATAGTATTTACAACACTTTGTTAATGAGTGCTACAGCATACTGTAGTGAACTGATAAACTGTAATAAATACTGTAGTGTATTGTAGTATAATATGCCCTGTAGTTGTATAGTTGTATTAAGATAAGAAAGATTCTGTAATGCGCCCCTGATCTGGGTTCGTTGTGTTGAGCAGCTGCCGTTTGCTCTGATCCCCATCCTGACCTTCACCAGCCTGACCTCACTGATGAACGACTTCGCCAACGGACTGTGAGTATCTGCTGTGCTTCACTCCGCAGCTGAACTCAGAACGTGTCGGGAAGCTCAGCTTAGGTAGACAAGAGAAGCAGATGAGGAGCCTGAACGACAGGGTTTTTCATGTGCGAGATGTTTTGATCAGCTTCTTCTTTTCACCCCTCATGAACACAGTAGGGTCGTTCTGTGGCAACTCAACCAGAGGTCCCTGCCTCAATTTTTTTTTTTTTCTGGTGAAAGAAATATATAAATTAAGAAGGAAGCCAAAATATTAAATGTCATGGATGCATATACTAATCCACTGGTTTGTAGAGGTTAAAATTAAAATTTTCATTATTTTCACAAATTTAGAGTCAAATTACAGGAGGGTAAAACTGCCTTCAGAACGATGGCAGCATCATGTTAAAAATGTTCACCCGAGCATGTGGATATTATTGTTTTTCTCAGTGTTAACATGTGAAACAATATAAACACGATAAGCATTGGCCGACTCGAGTGTATGTACGTTCTGTACGGGTCTGCTTGATTTTTCCATTTGCTCTGCTTGAGCTTGAATGCTTTTGTTCTTTAAATATATATATATTTTTTGTTTACACATGATTTCAACTAAAAGAAAACCTTGAGATATAACGTAACTTTGTTGTGTAAAATGCCTGATCATAAGCTTGTTCACAAATAGTGACAAAACTCGATTATTGAAAAATAACATCTTTTTCAGTTAAATATCATTTAAATAAACAAATATTAGTTTTTTATGAGCCCAAATATTCAAATACATTAATTTTGAAAAATGCCCATCCCTAATTATTATAAATGAAAATTATACTTAGGTCATAAGTTATTTGTGAACTAAATCCAAGTCCAAGTAAAGCCAAGTCAAGTGTATGTGTATCTGCGCTCTTCACAATACTTTCATTAGTGATTCTTTAGCCACTGTCTGCGGTGCTCTGGATACTTTACTTAAGGCCGAATGATTTCTGTGATGCAGACAGAATCATGGAATCCAGTCGGAGAAATGGAATTTACTGTATAACATTTTGGAATTTTGCAAATTTTGAATGAATAAATCAAAGGTAGGTCAGTAGTGGAGAAAAACTATTGACATATCGTCTACACACAGAAACCTAAAGGTCTTGAACCTAAACCCTCGCTCCCGCTAAACGATTTGACTCGGGTCAAGCCTATCCAGTGGGAGCACACTGGGAGTGGCATTGGACGGCAACATGCCCAGTGCATTATGGGTGTTTTTTCTGTAGTCTGGTGGCACCGATTTCACTGTTTCACCTTTCTACTGCATAGACAGCCAAGCTTTATTATAAACATCTTCATGCCTTATAGTCATATTTAACAGATTAGAGCTGGTCGATAATATAATGTGCATTTTTTTGATGATGTAAACAATAATTTGGGATTTTGTATACATCACTTTATGTGAGTGTACTGGTACATAAGTAGGACACATATCCAATGTTAAATATATTTCTGGTTGATATTTCTGTTGCGTTTTGTGTCAAAAAAGTCTGAAATGCTTGAATGTTTATGTTTAACTGTCTGTATGGTGTAGGCTGCTTTAAGTAAAATCTAAATTAATAATGTTAAAATAACCCAAATAAATGCCCATGCGTTGCTCATGATGTGAGATGATGAAAAACCCGTATTCTGTTTGCATCATAAGGCATCAGACCGCACCGCAGAGGCTTCTCATGAGCCAACATTTAGTAACTGCTTTCTTACATGCAACTAAAACAATCTTCAGAATCCGTCTGTAGCTGATGGATAAGCGTCCAGTAGGTGGTGCTGCGGTGTAGATGTGTGAACGCTGTCGGTCTCTGCTGTATTCACTGATTCTGTTGAGCGCTCATGAGCTGTGATCAGCGGTGGATGACGGTTGGGTGTTGTGTTTGCAGCGTGTGGAAGATCGGCGGGGGTCTGCTCATCCTGGTGGTGTGCGCCATCAACATGTACTTTGTGGTGGTGTATGTGACGGCCCTCAACAGCACCGTCCTGAGAGAGAGAGAGAGAGTGTGTGTGTGTGTGAGACTAAATGTCCACACAAAGATAGTAAAACCTGAAATATTTGACATTGTGGGCACTGGCTTGCAGTCCCCACAGGGAAAAAAATATTAAAAATAGTAAATGATGTTTATCTGAAAGTGTAACAGTGCAAGCAGGTTTTCTGTAAGGGGTAGGTTTAGGGTTAGGGGATAGAAAATATAATTTGGTCAATATAAAAGTAATAGAAGTCTATGGAAAGTCCCCATAATTCACAGAAACAAACGTGTGTGTGTGTGTGTGTGTGTGTGCACTCAGGTGTGGCGCTGTCTGATCGCTCTGGGCGTCTCTCGTCTGGACTTCAGAGGTTCGGTTCAGTATCCGCCCTCCGTTCTCATGGATGAACAGCCAGAGTTTGATTCCTGAAGCAGTATGAACACTTGCTTGTTCTTCCAGTGTGAGGAACGTCCTCACTGTAACCAACAGCACAATCCAAATATTAGTCTTTTTTTCTTGGTTTTCCTGCATCAGTTCCTGATCACTTTGTATAGATCTACTATTGTAGGTCTGGCAGAACTGATAGATCTACTGTGCTCCTCAGATAACTTATTTACTACAACAGCTGCAGAAATATGGGCTTAAAATGATTCCTTACAGAACGTACCCCGAGCGGTCTGTGTACAATCAGTGTGAAGTCAAGATAATTTAACAGTACAAATTAAACATAATGACTCGCTAACTAATGATTCATTTGCTGATGAACGGCAGACTAGAAGGTTTGAACCGTTATTTGTAGGTTCTCAAAGGCTGCTTTTCTTACCATGAATAAGCTGATGAAGTGTTTTTATGACCCGCAGGAACATTAGCCTGCCTTCACCCTAAAACACGTGTTTTAATGCCTGAATGAAAGAGAAATGAGTATTTATTTTATTGAAGGAACAGTACAGACGGCATTGAATGCAGGACGCGTGAGACGCCCGTTGTGCACACTAGCAAGTGCTCTGCTCGCGCAGACGACTGACACGCCAAACCTTCTGGTCAAAAACTAAAAATAAAGGACCTCATTTATGTCAATAAATCATCTTATCATTTTCATTCATTTTTTTTTTCATTTCAAAGATTCTATCATTGGCTGTTTATTTAGTTTAGGTGCATCACTAGTTCAAACTCTTTTGCTGAACAGATTTGCCGTCATTTGACTGTACTAACAAGAGTTTCTGAACAAAATAAAAAGCATTACAGTTAATGCAGCTGTAAAAAAAAAAAAAAATGGAAACGACAAAAGTGCCTTTAAATTCTTCATTGTTTTGTCGTATTGTGCATTCTGATGTGTCTTCATTAGGAGATGTGACTGTCATCAAAAGTTTCCCTTCATTCCAGATCATTTCATTCATGTTTTGAAATGCCACTGAAATGATTTAATTTCCGGTTTCTCCGTTTTCATGTAAATGTGAGTTATGTTGGTGTGAGGCAGATACTTGTGTTCTGTTCTGCTGTATGTTTGAGACACATTCCATGCTGTCAGTAATTCAGCTGAGAGAGAGAACGGCTGAGATGTATTTTTGTTTTAAGACATGAATCTGATGAACCTGTACACACTGTACATGTGTAGCTGACAAATTAATAAAAGCCCAAAGTGTCATCTTCATGAAGTATGATGTGAAATGTTTCAGTGCTACAGCAACAATTTAAGGATCGAGTGCAAACAAACCAGAGTGAGCCGTCCTGGCAAAGACAGAAGATCATTTAAGTTACACATATGAGTGTCTATACATACAAGCATCTGAAACCTAGAGCAAGTGCACTTTAAGTCAACTATTTTTTTTTTCTTTTTCTTCAAGTCCATCTGTTTGTCTCTTGGGTGTCGGTTTAATTTCAGTTCCGATCTGCCTTAAGCAGGCGAGTGCAGATTTGAATGAGATGTTAATACACAGATGATGAAACTCTAGTCTGTCTCTAATCACGCAGAGACGTGCCTAATGAAACCGTCTCAGATTAGCTTCATGATTTCCTATTAATCGTGCACACTGTGAGGTATTTTGTGTGCTACTCGTATTTGTATGTCACTGATCTTAAACACAAGGCGAAAGACTGAATTTCACGATTTGACTGATTCACTTATAAGGGATAGAATCATATGTGGCATTAAAAGTTCACGCAAGACTGTTGCGTGACGCAGAGCTCTCAGTGGAAAAAGTGATAGACACCTGCAGGGCCAACAAGATAACGTCAAATCAAATGAAAAGATGAATTAGTTGATGTGAACAAGATAAGCAGTGTCAAAAACACAAAGAAAAGAGGAGGCAGAACAGGATGGATGTATGGCCTAAAGAAAGAAGTGAGGTTCCAAAACAGATTCAGGCATACTGGACTTTCAAAGAAGAAATAAGCTTCACATAAGGACTTCATTGTTCCGAGCAAACTGAGATATGAAAAGCTGATGAAAACTCATGAATCACATCTTGGAGGTGTGAAATGTAAAGAAAGAGCCAGGGATGTTCCGTATTGGTTGAATTGAAGAATTTGTTTCCCAATGTCTTAATAGCAACCCAAGAGAGCCAAGGATATCGCATCCAATACCAGGAAGACCTTGGTCAAAAATCGGCAGAGATCTGTTCCATTTCAATGGTTCAGATTACTTACTGTCCGTTGATTATTACTCCAAATTCCTGTCTGACGCAACTGCTCAGAGTGTAATTGTGGCCATGAAGTCAATGTTCGCGAGGCGTGGAATACCAGATAGTCTCAGACAATGGTCCACAGTGCACCAGATTTCAGAGACTTTGCAAAAGTGTGGGAATTTGAAGATGTGACGTCCAGGCCAGGACACAGCTGAACGAGCAGTCCAAACCATAAAAAACCTGTTAAAGAAAGCTCAGAGTGGCAAAAGTGACCCTTACATTGCTTTACTGGAATACCCAAACACACCGTTGGACGGTTCATACACATTTTTACCAATACATTTCCATGACTTTTGAGACAATATTCATGACCTAATGTTCCATCATTTTACAATAAGAATAAAAATCTATTCAGATTTTTCAAAGCGTATGTTAACTTGCGTTAAACTTACGATAAACACGTCTTTTCACAGGGGTACACATAAGTGATGGGACTATACAGTATATATAGCCTTTATGTCTCTTTGAGATCAGCTGTAGAGATTTCTGAGCCAATAAAAGTTCAGCAGCTAAGTGATCATTTCTGGTGAGCTATTACGAGTCCAGTCTAGTGTAAAGCTTCATCAGTCGGCACTAAATCTGTTCTAAAACACAAGCGCTCTCCAGAGAGACGCCGCTTCGGCAGGATGACGTGTGCAGTGGCTTCAGAGACTAACATGTTCCTGCTCACCGGAAGAGGCTTTCATCTGAAGAGTCTCTCGCTTGCAGCACATTTGACTTGCACTGAAAAACATTGGAAATCTTAGAAATATGAAGTAGAAAAACTGAAATAATATTTCCTGGTAAAACTGTATTTTAACGACCAATTCACATTAGTGACTGCAGTAATCAACATTTGAAGTGGATCAAAAAAGTTCATCAAAGTTGTCTTAAGACAAGAGGTTTTAGGTTTTAGGACAACTTTGATGAAAGGTTTTGATCCACTTCAAATGTTGACTAGTGTAGTTGTTTATTAGCATGCATATTCGAGCCGATATTAATGCTTTATTCTAGCCCATACCTAAACTTAACAACTACCTTACTAACTATTAATAGACAGCACATTAGTTTACTGAGGCAAAAGTCATAGTTAATAGTTAGTAGAACTGGCCCCCAAACTAAAGTGTGACCCTATTTTCTTGTAAAACACTCCAATAATCCCAATTTACAACAAAAAATCATTTTCTGCAGTGTGTATATGTGTTCTGTGGAATCGAACCCATGGCCTTGTGTTGCTAGAAGCGGCGCCACCAGTTGAGCTGCAACATCGGTTTCATTCATCATGTCCTGAAGATGTCTAGATGAATGCTAGTATATTTTAGACCCCACTGTGTATTTAACACTTGTTTTGTTTTCTGTTTTATTTACATAGTTTTAGTCATTTTGGTGTGATGAACAAATTTATCTTGCAAATGGGGCCTTACTAAGACCACCTCAAACACACATCAGCTCTACAGTCTGTAATCCGATTTGTAGTCATGGTGGTTAATGGAAGTGTTGCGTAGATTCGTCCCTGATGACATGAGCAGCACTTTAATGGCAGATCCCAGTGTGTGTGTGTGTGTGTGTGTGTGTGTGTGTGTGTCAGGCTTCAGCTAGTTAGCAAACACTGTAACAACCTCGTCATGAGGGCAAAAGGATATTTTTTTCCATTGATGACCATTCAAGAGTTGCTGTTTCTTCTACCATTGCTGTAAGCTCCTGGGGGCCGAGCATCAGTCGCTGAGATGAATGGGAAAGTTAACAAATAAAGTCTCCAGGACTTCAGTCACATCAGATATCTTCTAATGATTCTGACCATGTCATCAGAGTGTCGTTTTTCCTGAGTGATATGAGGAAAGCAGGAGCTGGCTAGTGTATTGGGAGTGTATTTGCTGAGCTGTTAATGAGATTGAATGAGCGTGTTGATCTCCTGTGGGATCCATCATACAGACCATCACCAATCCCAGCATCACAGATGGACCCTCTTGTGTCTCTGGGGTCAAACACTCTCTGTATTTAAGGCCAGTCTCCAGATCTGCTCCAAACACACACACACCACTAAACCAGTGCAGGCAGTAGTACTGTAGTGATGGAAGCGGGCGTGTGGTTCATGCTGCTGGGTGTGCTGCTGGTCATGACCGATATGGGCCAGTCCATCCCCAAAGACGACGTGCTGGAGCAGAGCAAACTCCTGCTGGAGTCACGCGAGGACGCAGACAATTACAACATGCTGGAGAGTCGAGGGGTATGATGAACACTTTTCTATGTTTGATGGTATAATTTCAGAAGTGCATGGCAGCAGCTAGATGCCTTTGGCTATGAAATTTCTCATGCATTTAAAGAAAGTTCACTATAGCTTCCTTACTCAGTCGTAGCATATCAGACTAGAGACTTTCAAGTAAAAGAGCATCTTGAGTGTTTGTGAAGGAGGGAGATGCTGACTGTCACTGATGTGTAACAGGCCACTGAAGAGCAGATGGATCATCTTCTGGAGGATCGTCTTCTGGTGGAAATGTTGCGCTCTTTACTCCACAGCTCTCAGAGATACGAACGAAACCCTTCAGTGCTGCACCAACCACAGCGGTGCGTATAGTTTAAAGAAATCATCATCATCATTTTTTTTTTAATTTCTAAGATTCAATACAATTAAGCACACTTCTTTATTTACAAGGGCATAATGAGCATGACATTATAACCACATCTTTAAAGTTACCATCGTAAACAATACTGTCAACAAGGTAAAAACTCTGCATACAACTGTACATACACTTGTAGTGTAGATTTAGCTGCTGTTCTGTCCTTCCACTGAAAACCTATATTTATGAGTTTTGATTGCACACAGAGGAAGGGTCTCAAGCGGAGCATTGTAATAGTCCAGTGGAGATCTCTCAGTGAAACATCTCAGTAATGTTAGAAGTGGAAGGAGCCCAAGACCGAACCCTGAGGTACCCCAGTGGTTAGTTTATGTGGCGTAGACACTGCTCACCTCAAACACACTACCCTGAAAGTCCTGCCGGAGAGGTGGCAGAGTGCAGCTGCAATGATGTTTGTGTCACTGACAGTAGAAAAGAAGATCTGGTGATTTACTGTGTCAAAGACCGTGTATAACTGGATCCCCTATTCAGCAGTACCATAACATTTACACCGTTTTTAACATTTCAGTGAGTATGGAAGATTGTGGGTGGTCTGTAAGATATTCTCTGCCATAAAGATGACAGAAATATCCACAGGATTTACTTTGGCGTTATTCTTTGCACTCCAGGTTTGGTCGGGGGACTCGGAGCGGCTTGTCCACAGAGGAAAGGATACAGTCTCGCGACTGGGAGACTGTTCCTGGACAGATATGGAGCTTGGCTGTGCCACAAAGATTCGGCAAAAAATAACACCACCCAGAGTGAGGTCTTAGGGTTTTGTAATTAGTAGATCTGAAACATCTATAAGAATCTCATTCTCCCAACCAATCCAAGGCAATCAGTCACTCTTCTGTGCATTTCATCAAACCCTGTGATAGTAATTATAACACACCAAAACAATAATATTTAAATGTAGTAAATATATTTCATAAGTTGTGAATGAGTGGAAGGAAATAGTCATGTGAGGGCAGGTTGTGATTATTCATCCACTGTAAATCATATGTGTTGTGTATTGTATTTTCTGTGTATAAATAAATGATAAGCTGCTTGTTCAGAGACATTTCTGGTCGTTCTTATTCTTGAAATTTTGTCAATAGTATTGGCTGAGCATTCTTTCTTGCTTTCTTTTTATCAAACTTACTAAACATGTTTTGCAAGAGAAATGTCATGGGTTATTCAAGTCTTTTTTTAAATGTGATAAAATTATGAGTTTTTTAATGTATATGATTTAATTTCTGTGATAATTTCTATGCAGCATTTAAAAGTTAGTAGTGATAACTACAAGTAAACGCATATTTACTCGCAAAGTCTATGGCGATTACAGTCCTGCTTTGTTTGGCACACTGAATTAATTTGTTCTTTGAGCCAAAGAAAAATGTTTTTATTAATATTCCAAAGCACTGAGAGGGATATGTTGTTTTCATTTCCAATTATTGAACATCAATGAAACCTATTGGTTGTTTTCAAAGTTCTGAGTAAACATTAGATTAGATTTTCACTCTTGTAATATCTTGTAATAGCTCTACAGGGGTTGTGGAAAATAACATTAAGTTTATTATAAAGCTAAAAGCTTTCCTATGAATCTCAGTATTGTTTATACTGTTAGATCACACAGTCAAATGTTGACCTGGACCCGACTAAAAACCCTGGATGTAGCGGCTGAGTGAATGTGGCCTGTTCTCTGTGGATGAGGCTCATTGTGTCAGAGACGCTGTAGAAGGACAGAGTTCCTGCACTGAGATCCACATACACTCCTATTCTAGAGCAGCTGGAGGAAACAGGCAATATCTATATTATCGTGCCAGCATAAGTATCCGGAGGGAGAGCAGGACAAACACCAGGACTGATCATTACGTCCAAACACGCACGCAGAACTGGTTTCTTTCCTGCCGATGCTCTTATATGACACTGCGATACAGCTCCAGCTCCCAGTAACAGCGTCCACACACTCTCTCTGTGCACAACACCTGCAGCTCACAGTCAAATCTGTCCGGGTGAGCAGGATACAGCTGGACTGTGTCAGCAGACGTGATCACTGAGTGCCCCTCAGACAGACGGAGATGTTTATTCACTGTGTTCAGATCCAGAGTCAACCCCCAGAAATCTAATGGAGAGGAAACATACAATATTATCTGCATCTGATTCAGTAATGCATGAAATACGTCTCTATGCAATGGTCTACTCACAAATAGGTTAATAATGATTAAGAAATTGTATATTTGGACAACATGCTATTGTCACATGTCTTTCTTTTCATGCTGTACCAAAAAGAATAGGTCATCGAGACCATCTTGTGACTCAAAACAACGTCTGGCCATCGTAAAATGGCCTTGTAGCACTTAATAATTTAATAGTGAGCATCAGCGTCATAGATACAAAACACAGGCTTGTTGCAAAACGTTTTTATACACAGTAATGGACTACTTTTTCTTGGAGGAAAGTTTAAGAGAATATTCTTTGTAAGTGCTCGACTTGAAGACTTGAACTGAATTAATTTAAACATTTTGTAAACCTACAATTCAATTATACAAATATACTTTACAGATATATTCTACATTTATTTACCAATGTCATTGCTGTTGACCTTTGTTTATCAAATTCAACTGCATAAATAACTGCAAATGACTTTATTTGAAAAGGGTCACAGCTATGATTCATTTTTATTGAAACTTTGTGATTGGAACTAATGGCATATAGAAATAAATAAATTGTGCTCTTGGGTACAATAAGCAAGATAACGTGCAGTACAATCCATATCTGTTATTCCATTTAAATATACAAATAATACATACATTTGATATTGAAACAACCAAAAAAAAAAAAAAAAAAACCGGGACAGAGAGAGACACACATCAGAATGACAGTATAACATACAGTGGCATGCAAGAGTTTGGGAACCCCTTGCAGAATCTGTGAAAATGTGAATAATTTTAACAAAATAAGAGAGATCATACAAAATGTTAACATCTGCCCTCATCTTCCTCTCCCAAATTCCCCTGAAACCACCATCCCCTCCCCCTGACCAAGGTTAGGAGAGAGCCTCCTGCGCTTGCATTACAGTCTCTCATGCTGGGCCTATTATGCTTTGATTAGCTTCTGTGTATCATAGAACTACCTACTGATGGTCTGGATCCAAGTGTTTCTTCAGACTTTGCCTCAGAGTGTATTCATGAAATTGAGACATGCGCGGGATCCATGTGGGGTGAGTATGATCCATTTCATCTCTCTGTTGCTAGTTTATACATGGTATAACTAACTAGCTTTCCCCTGCAGCGTAACTATGACCTGTTTCTGTACCACTGACTTCCTTACAGGGTTAGGGCCTCCGCACACCTCCCCTGCTGCAAGTCAGAACCAGTCGCTGTCGACTGTTTGTGGGTTGGTGGTTTCACCTCCCCAATTTGGGTCTTCTGCGTTTTCTAGACTGAGCTGAGGCTCCTCACCTATGAGTAGGGGTAGCCAGGGTGCGAATTACACAGTGACTATCGGGGGGACAGAGCACTTGTGTGTGTGTGTGGGGGGGGGATGGGGGGTAAATTAATTAACATGCACATAATATCTTTAGAAATAAATATTTTAATTCAACATACAAAAAATACTAATAAATAGTGAAATATGAAATTATTTAAAAAAAGAAACGATACTCTAAATATAAAACTAAAAGTGCCAGTAGGTGGTCTTAATAAGTGAGTCATTCAGTCATTCATTCAATCGATTTGTTCAAATGGCTGATTCATTCAGAAACGAAGCAAGTGCATAGAGCATCATTTGGGACGCAACTAGTGACTAAACATGAGATAAAATTAGTTTTGGGTATATCTAACAGGTAATCTTTAGTCTCATGAATCTATTATTTGTTCCAGGTCATGTCATTTTGGCTGAGTACAAAGTTATGTTTCATATTTATATATTTATTCAACTTAATCGTAGTAGCTACAGCACTGACTTTGTAGCATACATTTGACTGAATTGTTTGCTTTTGTCTTTATTTCACTGTCACTTTGCTTCCGGCTTCGCTACTGTTCGGACGCTCTTGCTTACTGCTCCGCGCTTTGCTCTATGTTTATGTACTTTTCTCAGATTTTTCTAAGATTCTAACTCTAGCAGATCAGCACAGTGCTCAAACAACACATTTTTTGGCAGAAACACTAAAATTAAAAACTTTTTGGGACTGGAATAATACTATGAAAAAGAAGATTCTGTCTCCCACTGCCAGCAGCTTGCATTCCGAAGACGGAAAAACACAGCTGCCTACATTCAAACAGATGAGAAAGAAAATGCCTCTTGTGGAATCTACTTGCTGCATTAACTGCCATAAACTTCTACGAAGGATTGCGGTTCTTGAAACAAAGTTACTTGCTGGACTTCCAAAACAGGCGGAACACACGTTTGACCTGATTCAGCATGTGCATGGACCCACACACAATCCAGGACATACGTTAGATTTACTCATCAGTAGAGGTCTAAACATTTCATCCATTGTTATTAAGGACGTAGCACTATCTGATCACTTCTGTATTTTCTTTGATATATTGATCTCTGCTACCACTGAATCTAGATCTGTCTCTGTCAGCAAGAGATGCATTAACGAAAATGCCAGTGTGCTTTTTATGGAGGCTATATCTTTAACACCAAGCATTTCTGCAGACTCTGTTGATCTTCTCCTTGATTCCTTTAACTCAAAAGTGAAGAATGTTATTTATGATATTGCTCCTTTGAAAGTCAGCAGGAAGACTGGCGGACAGAAATCAGCTTGGAGAAAATCAACAGCAGTTCAGAGTATGAAAAGACAATGCAGAAAAGCTGAGCGGATGTGGCGGAAGATGAAACTTGAAATCCACTATAGCATATATAAAGATAGCCTTCGTGCTTTCAATGTGGAACTAGGCAAAGCTAGACAGTCATTCTTCTCAAACCTTATAAACAGTAACTTAAATAACACTCGCACTCTTTTTGCTACTGTTGAGAGATTAACTGACAAACCCCCCAAGTCAGATTCCCAGTGAAATGCTCTCCGACAGCAAATGCAATGAGTTTGCTTCCTTCTTTTCTGAGAAGATCAATAATATCAGAAAGGCGATTAGCACATCCTCAAGTTAAACAGAGGTCAGACAGATTCGACCGCAATTTCAAAAAGAAGGTACTATGTCTGCTTTTGAAGCAATTGACAGCAACATTTTGGAAGAAAAAGTACAGCACCTTAAATCGTCAAACCTGCTATCTTGACACACTTCCCACATATTTTTTTCAAAAGTGTGTTTAACTGTTTAGAAGCAGATCTTGTAGAAGTGGGGAACACCTCACTTCTTTCTGGGACGTTTCCAAACTCCCTGAAAACTGCAGTTGTTAAGCCCCTTCTGAAAAAGAGCAATCTTGATAACACCATATTGAGCAACTATAGACCAATATCAAATCTTCCTTTTATAGGAAAGTGAAAAAGAGTTTGATAACCCATATTGAGGCAATATAGACCAATATCAAATCTTCCTTTTATAGGGAAGATTATTGAAAAAGTAGTTTTTAATTAGCTGAACAAATACTTAAACTCAAATGGATACCTGGACAATTTTCAATCTGGTTTCCAACCACATCACAGCACAGAGACAGCGCTCATTAAGATAATAAATGATATTCGCTTTAATTCTGATTCTGGCAAAATATCAGTGCTGGTTCTACTAGATCTCAGTGCTGCGTTTGACACTGTCGATCATAACATACTACTAGAGAGACTGGAAAACTGGGTCAGGCTTTCTGGGATGGTAATCAAATGGTTCAGGTCATACTTAGAAGGGAGAGGTTATTATGTGAGTATAGGAGAGCATAAGTCTAAGTGGACGTCCATGACATGCGAAGTCCCACAAGGCTCAATTCTTGCACCGCTCGTTTAGCCTGTATATGCTCCCACTAAGTCAAATAATGAGAAAGAACCAAATCGCCTATCACAGCTATGCAGATCATACCCAGATTTACCTAGCCTTATCGCCAAATGACTACAGCCCCAATGACTCCCTCTGCCAATGCATTGATGAAATTAACAGTTGGATGTGCGAGAACTTTCTTCAGTTAAACAAGGAAAAAACCGAAGTCATTGCATTTGGAAACAAAGATGAAGTTCTCAAGGTGAATGCATTTTAGAAATATTTGACGATAATGAGCTTTTATAAAGATATCGCCTTCGGTTTTGAAGGTTATCCCAACTCCAGATTTTCCTTTGATTATATCCTTGTTTTCATTAACCAGCAGGGCAAGAAGTAACAGCTGTGCTCGTGTCCAGTCTGGTTTTCTTTTATGTTTGCATGTCTTGCTATCATATTCTACTCTGTTAATTAAAAGGCTGCTTAAACGCATATTTACTAATTATGAGAAGCATATATGTAAGAGGCTGACAATTAGCTGAACACATACTTGTTTAATTAGTGACACTTAGCCTGCATTATAAAATCTTTATTTGAACGTGGCAACATTTTTATTTTTAAACCTTTATCTTTACTCTACAATATTTCTGTGAATAAATCTCTGGCAGAGACTATCAGCCAATCACTGTGTGCATAGTTAATAAGCATGCTGACATCATCCATAGCAACCAGCTCAACCTCTATTCTTTAGTAAACGTTTGTCTCAGCGGCTTTGTGAACAGGTTTTAGGAGAAAACTCTTAGCACAAAAATGTTTTGTGAGTACATGCCCTGGTTTCCAGTCCAGCAGATGGGAGTGTCACACACTAACACGAACTAGGAAATCACATGTCTGCAGCAAACATCAAGAAAATGCCACACACAATTATTGCATTCAAGATTATTAACTCAAATCATTAAGTGTGTCATTAACATTTTATTCTCTCCTGCTCAGGAGGTACGTCTACATTTACAGTTCATTACATTCATGCATTTTGCAGACACTTTTGTGCATTTTTGGTTCATGCATTTCCTGGGAATCAAACCCAGGACCTTGGTGTTGTGAGTGCTGTGATCTACCATTTGACCAAATGGGCATAATTTGTGACATTTTGCCATTTAAAAAAGGTTTTGCTACTCAATATTTACAAGTGTCAAATTAGAGAGCATGCCAGATGAGGTCAGGCTCGTTTTCCTATTATATCTGCTCAAGTTACAGATCTACAGGATCATAACAGTCTAATAATAATGCATAATACAGACATGCATACATTCATTTTATCTTATGCATGTATGCTGTCTAAATGAAAAGGGTAAAAAAAGTGCTATAACCCAATGGAGTTTTGATATTGAATTTTGTTTCTTCATTCTGATGTACAATTATTATTTTATTCATTAATTAATTTTATTATATATATATACTTTGTCCTCTGCAGTTTCTTGTAGCTCTTCTGTATTTATTAACAACAATAATAATAGTGATGTTTGCCTGAGTAAACGTTAAGATAATACAAAAATAGCAGTCCAAGCGAGTCCAAGGTACTCAAAGTATAGTTTAAATTTAACGTCAGTAGAGTTTTAGCTCACAGACATGGTTTAATAGGGCTTGTTATATTAAATCTCTCTTTCAGTGGCAGTATTTATGTATTAAATGTAATATTCCTTATCCAAATAGCACCAATATCGCTTCATTTCAGCCTCTGTTTATATGAGGTGACTTCAAGATATCACACTAATCAAATCTGTCTGTGGTTTTCTCTGAAGATCAAGATGACTTGATCTAAGGCTAATCACATCAATCTTCTCCTTCAGCACTAGGTGGCGCGATCAAACAACTTTTATAGTGATTAAGTGACCGCGGGGTGTCGCAATTTTCGGCATATTTGTTATGCGTGTCCTTAATTCAATTAAGGCTTATTTTTATTTGTTTATTTATTTTTTAATTAAAAAATGAACATCACTCTTTACTGACCTTTATGTCATTCCAAACCCGAATGACAAGAAAAGAAGATTTAGGCAGATTAATGTTTAGGAACATTAGGCATCACGTGTAGCTTCTTTTATATACTTTATGATACATAGCCAACTATATAGCAAATCTCAGATGCACTACATGTAAACAATCCAAACTGCTACATTTGGAGAATTAGCCGATATAAACATTATAACCTCGTGCTTGAACACGGTGTGCATAGTGTACAACTCGATACAATAAAGTGAATAATAACCGTAGATGTTATTCTGTCTAATATGTAAACTTCTGGAACGAGTCATACGAGTTTTTTTAAATGATTAATTGAATGTTTTTTTATGCTAACTGTTCCGGTAAGAGAGCGCAACGCCAAACTTCCTTAAGCCTCTGGTATCGTTTGACTTCCTCAGTGTACAGTTTCATTAATAACATAAACAGATCTTAGAGATATGAAGAAATAATAAAGTAACGTTAGTGAGTTTACTACCACAAACAATCAGAATGTTTTTAATAGTCAGTAAAGGGTTTACGAGCTGAAGGTTTCCAGGAAGGAAATGGGCGTGTCTGCGCTGCTGACGCACAGTGACGCAAGTCTCGCGATATTTGGTGGCGCTGGGTTTTGATATAATCCCGGCACGTCCGTTTGTCCTCTCGTTCGTCCTCAGTGCAGGGTAACGCTACGCTCGCTCGCCGCAGCGGCAGATACAGGCCACAGACCGCGAATACTGCTTACCGACACACCTGACAGCCCAAGTGCGAGAAAACAAGCATCCCAGACATACGTGAGGTGAGTAACGTTAGTTTGTTCACGAAGAATCGGCGCGGCGCGTTCAGTGAGGGACGCGTCACGCGCTCGCGTCGCGTTTCCACGCCACCCTCATGCGATTTCTGTAACTGTAAACCTGTCCGAGTCTTCACTTTAGTGGTAGATTATCTTTAAATCGAGATCTTCTTGACACGATGTATCTAACAACTGCGTAAAATGAAGCGAGAGCTCATTGGCGAACTAGAAAATGTCCATTCAATAAATAGATTCCATTCCCTTGCGAAAATTAACCCTGATTTTACTACAAATGTACATGGTTACTACAGTCAAACCATGGTAACCACGAATTAACCATGGTTTTGCTACACCAACCATAGTTAAACCATGGTGTTTGTAGTAAAACTGTGGTTATACAAATGGTAATCAATACGCCAAAAGACATGGTTACTACACTTTTACTACAGTAAACAATGGTTGATTTTCGTAATGGTAGTTAGACTCAGAACTGGTCAGTTTTAGCTCGTAATGTGACACAGAAAGCTCGTATGTTTTACTGTGAGCCTGTAAATATGTGACTGTGAGTGTTTGGTCGCAAGCAGGTGAGATAAGGTACAGTAAGTTAATCATCTGAGTCATGGACGCTTTCCTCGCAGTCACACCGGTCTGAATGAGCAAATCTGGGTTTGTTTGTGCTGATACTGTACGAGGATGCTGATGGCTCACCTGTGAACAACATTCACTTCTCATTTAATGTCGTCTGAAAGGGGCTTAATGGTGTTTGGAGGCTCAGATTGCTGTAAGGAGTTGAGCATTACTCTCACACATACTGTACTCAGTGTAGTGTGCTTTGATTCCTGTAAGACTGAACCATGTGTCTGCGTTTATCCCTGAGCCATTGTCCCTGTAATACAGTCACGGCTCTGTGCCAAGTATGTGAAAGATCCAGAAGCAAACCGCACCAGCCAGTGCTGGCGACCTTTAGAGTTGTTCCTGTATGCTACACTATATGGACAAAAGTATTGGGACACCTCCTTCTTTAGAACAGAAAAAGGCACTTCCAGAGCTGTGGCAACAAAGATGGAAACTTAATTAATGTATTTTAAGAGTATTTACAAATGACTCTCTCCAAATTACTGATTACTTTCTAACTCCTATATCCACCTCGACAAGTCAATGATACAAGGATAGACATGAAACGGTTCTTTTAATTATTTCAAATAAGTAACGGATAACTACATAAATTATTCTGGTCACACTTTCGATTAGGGTCCAATTCTCACTATTAACTATAACTTTTGCCTCAATATGCTCCTAATTACTGCTTATTAATACTTAGTAAAGTAGTTGTTACGTTTAAGAATTGGGTAGGATTAAGGATTTAGAATAAGGTCTTGCTGAATAAGACATTAATATGTGCTTTTTAAGTACTATTAAACAGCCAATATTCCAGTAATATTCATGCTAATAACCAACTAGTTAATAGTGGGAATTGGACACTTAAGTATTTAAAGTGAGAAGGGTACATAAAAAGCATGCATTTTAAGGTTAGACTTTAAATTTTGACGTTAAATCCACTATTTTATTGTATATATATATATATATGTGTTCTACGGTCTATATACAGTATTAAGTTCAATTACATAAGAAGTAACTGTAATTAAATTACAGAAAAAAATAAGAGTAATCCCTTACTTTACGTTTTCAAGGGAAAAGTCATTAAATTACAGTAACTAATTACTTAGTAACTAGTTACACCCAACACTGGTCCTGTCGAAACTGTTGTTGCTATAAAATTAGAAGCGCACAATTTCCAAGAATATCATTATATGCTTCAACATTAATATTTGTGCTCATGGAAATGACTAGAGTAGTCAAACCTGTTCATTTGAAGGGGTGTCCCAATACTTTTGTCTATATAGGTGACTGTTTGAATGACCCTGTGCTGTGTTTCTTTCCAGACTCTCTGGACAATCAGTCATGGACGCCATCATTCGCTGCCCGTTCCTGTCTCGAGTCCCTCAGACCTTCCTGCAGCAGGCTAGAAAGTCCTTGGTGGCGTACGCCGTGAAGTGTCCCGTCATGATGGACCTTGCGTCGAGGCCGCTGGTGCGCTCGCTCTGCTCCTCGTCCTCCAGCTTCCAGAAGAGTGAGGGCACTCCTCCAGCCGGCGAGGGTCAGTCTCCGCCGCCCTTTGTGCTTGAGTTCAGTGCGCTTGCTTGCCTTGCTGAAGAATGTCCCTCTGCTCTTTGCATTAGGAGCCAAAGAGGTGGCCAGAGTGCACCCCGCGCCGCCCGCCGGTCACGCGTCCGCCTCCAGATGCCCGTTCCTGGCGGCAGAGATGGGGCAGAGGAACAGCGGCGTGGTGCGGCAGGCCAGCATGGCGCTTCAGGAGGACGTCTCTGAAGTTCGCACCGTGTGCAAAGGTTTGTGAGGAAGTGTTTTAGTGTGTTGGGCTCCACTGTGGTTTACTGTATGTTAGGGGTTGTGAAGTAATGCGTTTACAAAACTGTTTGGTCAGACCAGATGATATGCCTGCACTAAAAATACAAGAAATTTCTAATTCAAAACGGAAAACTAAAAAAAGAAAACACCGAGTACTAAAGAAAATAATTATAACTATTACTATGAATATTGTTATTATTACTAAAAATACAAGAAATTTCTAATTCAAAACGGAAAACTAAAAAAAGAAAACACAGTACTTAAGAAAATAATTATAACTATTACTATGAATATTGTTATTAGTACTAAAAATACAAGACATTTCTAATTAAAAACAGTGTTTTCTTTTTTTAGTTTTCTAAGTACTTAAAAATATTATAACTACTATTATTTGAACTTATAATGTTATTATCACTATATAAAAACTCAATAAAAAATGAGTGTTTAAGAAAAAAAATTTATTATTATTATTTATATTGTTATTATTACTAAAAATACAAGACATTTCTAATTAAAAACCGAAAAATAAAAAATAAAACACTGACTACTTAAGAAAACAATTATAACTACTATTACTTGAATTTATAGTGTTATTATCACTATAGAAAAACTAAATAAATAAAAAATGAGTGTTGATGAGTATTATTATTACTAAAATATCAAAAATACTAATTAAAAACAGAAAATAAAAAAATTTGTCTTTCTGAAAAATAATATAACTACTGCTATTATACTATTATTATTGTTATTACTAAAAATATGAAAGTTACTACTGAAAAGCGAAATAAAAAATGCCATTGTAATATTTCACTGTAAAAAAAAAACTAATTGGGTAAGAAAAATAATGTAATGTTAATTAAATAATAATAATACCTGCATAATTACAATACAAAATTTTTATGGCTGTCCTAATTTCTTCATTTTCAAACATTGAGCCGTTAAACCATGACATGCACGTAAAGCTTCTCTTCTGTTGATAAATGCTTCTCGTCACGAGTTCGGTAAGATGTTTGGCGCATGCTCTCCAAATGCACAGATGGTTTTGAGATGCGGTGTGTTTTTGTTTAATCACGCAGCCCTACCAGATGTGTTTTATTTATATTTCTTTTCAGTTATCGTCAAACTTTTCCGCTGCTTTTGTTAAGATGCTTTAAAAACGACTCGATCTCTCTAATCCACCCAGTGGACTGTCCGTCTCTGTTTTCCAGACGTCTCGCCATCTGAGCTGAATCCTTTGGTGAAGGACACCAAGATCGGAGGAAACCTGATGAAGAAGCTGATGAAGCAGCGGCCCACTCGGGTCTCTCATTTGCTGCAGGAGAACATGCCCAAAAGTATGTGCGTTCCGTTACAGTGAAGAAACTCCTACAGCAAACCACTTCCTATTTTGAAACGCAGTTTCACACTTGCTGTTCTCTTTCAGCCGTGTCCAACTTTCGCTATGACGAGTTCTTCGAGAAGAAGATCGAGGAGAAGAAGGAGGATCACACGTACCGCGTGTTTAAAACGGTGAACCGTAAAGCGACGGAGTTCCCGATGGCGGACGATTACACCGAGTCGCTGTCCTTCAAGAGAAGTGTTTCTGTGTGGTGCAGCAACGACTATCTGGGCATGAGCCGCCACCCGCGGGTGGTGCAGACCATAATGTGAGTGACCTAATGACCATTGTGAGGTCTGTACTTGATCTCTGCATCAACATCTTCAGCAGATGGCTCAGTCCTAAAATAGAGCTTTTTTAATCCTAATATAATGCATTTGGGCTGAAATGAACGTCTCTGTGATGTCTTTTGACAGGGACACTTTAGAGAAACACGGTTCTGGAGCCGGAGGCACTCGAAATATATCGGGGACGAGTAAGTTTCACGTGGACCTGGAGCACGAGCTGGCCGATCTTCACGGGAAGGACGCAGCCTTGCTCTTCACCTCGTGTTTCGTGGCCAATGACTCCACGCTCTTCACGCTGGCTAAGATGCTGCCTGGTGATTATTCCCCTTTCATGTTTTGCATGAAGAAAGCGAAGCACGTTTTGCAAAAATTAAGGCCCTATGATTTCCACAATGCGGATATCCAGTCTTAATAAAAACTACATTTACTGTGTAACGCAGAATGTCACAGAAACTTGGGATGAATTAATCAAAAGTAGGTCATTACACTTATATCAAATCACGATATGGACTAGTATCTGTAAATATTAAGCTGCAAAAAGTCACTTCATCAGCATTTTGCACTTTCATTTGAGAAAGACTATCATCACATCGAATACAAACAGAAAACCCGTCAAAATACAAATTCAGTTTACTTGAAGAAATTGTGATGGAAATATATTATTATTGTGTATTATTATTGTGCTACTACTACTCATAAATAAATGATTAAAACTTAATTTTTTTAAGGAATAATCACACAATATTTCTTTCATGTTTTAATTTTAATAGTAAATCCCCTTTGGTTGCCAAAAAATAGTTTGTTTACTTTTCAATAATTATCATAAGGATCAATTAAATTGATGTTTTATGCCTTCACTTGATAACCAGATTTAAATTCACAACACAGAATTTCTGAGAAAAAAAACATTTCATAAGGCTAATGTAAGAATAAATTTGAATAAATTAAATAGTTTTTATGCATTCAAATAATCAGACAAATAATTCAAATAATTTGGTAACAATAAAGCATTAGGTGAGTCATTTTTGTTAAACTTTTAATAAATTGTTAAATTGCACAAGGTTCATGATTTTAATTAATGTTTTTTGATTAATAAAATTTAATTTAACCACTAAAAATGAGTCCAGAACAATTCAAATGGAATAAAAGGAATCCAAAAAAATTAAAACTGAAAAAACGGAACTTGGGAAAAAAATTAAATGGATTTCATAGGGCCCTACAAACCTCATTGCTGTAATGCAGAGAAATAAATAAAAGCACATAAAAATATGTCAAAAACATCACAATGAGATTGATTTATTTTTATGTGATTCTCATGAATAAATGACAATGTGAATCTGAAACAGGCTTTTTTCCCCATTTCTGTTCCTTCTGTGTTTGTGTTTGTGCTGCTTTGTAAGATTTGGACGGTCAGGTTTCTGAGAACGGCGCTTCTGTGGTTTCTCCTCAGGTTGCGAGATCTATTCAGACGCGGGCAATCACGCCTCAATGATTCAGGGCATCAGGAACAGCGGCGCCAGGAAGTTTATCTTCCGCCACAATGACGCCAAGCACTTGCGCGAGCTGCTGGAGAAATCGGATCCCTCCGCTCCCAAGATCGTGGCCTTTGAGACGGTGCACTCGATGGACGGTCAGTCTCGGGCTCTCTGTGATCTGATCTGAGGTGGGATCGTGCTCCGGTGCTCACGCAGACTGTGTTTGTGCTGCAGGCGCCGTGTGTCCGCTGGAGCAGATGTGTGACGTGGCTCACGAGTTCGGCGCCATCACGTTCGTGGACGAGGTGCATGCGGTGGGGCTCTACGGCCCCCGAGGAGGCGGCATCGGAGACCGGGACGGAGTCATGCACAAGATGGACATCATCTCCGGCACTCTGGGTGAGGCTCAGAGAACAGAGAATTACAGCCGGGTGGAGACGAGCCCACAGGCACCTACAGCTGCTTAACAGACCAAACCAGCCAAACCTGTTGGTTCCTGTTACTCCACTGATAAAAATCATGACTGCTTTTTTTCTGGTGATTTTTTTTTTCTTCTAAATCCAGGTTTGCTGTGCTTGTTTGTTGGGCACCGCAATTTAGCCAAAATTTTGTTTTGTTTATATAATACGGCTATAAAAAGAACTATATTATTAATACTGTATTATTATTATTATTATTATTATTATTATTAAATCTAGAAAATTAGTAAAAGCGAAATAAGAAATTGCCTTTGTAATTGACTGTAAAATAAAAAAATGTGTAAGAATACATTTTATTATAGGTATTATTATTTTACAGTGAAATTTAATTTTTTTGCCTATTATTGCTAAAATGAATAAGAAAAACTGTCATGAATTCACTGTAAAAATGAAAAATTTAAAGATGTATTTTATATTTTAAACACTTGTACAGTGAAATAATCTTGTCTTTTTAGTAGTTTGCGTATTTTTAATACTATCATTTATAGCTTTACCGCTTCACTCTAAAGCATGTGGTGAACGTGATTATTTAATGAAATCCTGGTCTTTGTGATTTGATAACCTCACTAAGCCATATAGTGATTTCAGTTGTATTTCGATGAATTGTGCATCTGTATTTTGTTATTCATGATACCGTGATTCGTGTGTGTGAGAGTGTGTGTGTGTGTGTGAGAGTGTGTGTGTGTGTGTGTGTGAGAGAGAGAGAGAGAGAGTGTGTGTGTGAGTGAGAGAGAGTGTGAGAGTGTGTGTGTGTGTTTTAGCTTGTGATCAGTGATGATGATCAGAGCGACCCTCAGTTCTCAGTGTTATTTCTCTCTCGGTCTGGCAGCTGTAGTGTGTTTCTGCGTCTGACCTCTCTCCTCTGGTGTGTGTGTGCAGGGAAGGCGTTTGGCTGTGTGGGCGGCTACATCGCCAGCACTAACGCTCTGGTGGACACGGTGCGCTCATACGCCGCAGGCTTCATCTTCACCACGTCTCTGCCGCCCATGCTGTTGTCCGGCGCGCGCCAGTCCGTCCAGATCCTGAAGAGCGAGGAGGGCCGCGCGCTGCGCCGCAAACACCAGCGCAACGTCAAGCTGCTGCGGCAGATGCTGCTGGACACGGGCCTGCCGGTGGTGCACTGCCCCAGCCACATCATCCCCGTCAGGGTGTGCACACTCGCTGTTTCCTTACACCTCTTATCTGCTTTTTGCATTAAAAAAACGCAATAATGCTTATTTTAAGGTGTCCTTTTTACACACATTACATGTACTTACTATTATAATAACAATAAATTATGCATAATTACATGCAAGTAACACTAAGCCAAACCCTAATACTAACCCTCACCATATAGTAAGTACAAAGAAGCACAACATCACTTTCACAGAATTTTACATTAACTGTTCCCTCCTGGTGGAATGACCTGCCCAACTCAATCCCAGCAGCTGAGTCCTTAACCATTTTCAAGAAACGACTAAAAACACATCTCTTCCATCTTTATTTGACCCTTTAACTCTAGCACTCTCTATTCTAATTCTATTCTTAAAAAAAAAAATACCCCTTTTAGACTTGCACTCTATTTTATTTGTGATATTCTGATTTGATATTCATTTACTAACTGCTTGTTTTCTTTAAAAATATATATATAATAACACTAGCTTCTCTAATCTTTTTGTATTCTATCTATTCCTTTTCTTTTATTTATTATGCAATTAACAAAAGCAAAAAAGGCCTCTAACACTAGCTTGCTCTACTCTTTTTCTATTCTATCCGTTTTCTTTTTATTTATTATATAATTTATCTATAATCTTTTGTTGATTTTGATTGCTTCTATTGTCCTCATTTGTAAGTTGCTTTGGATAAAAACCTCTGCTAAATGACTAAATGTAAATGTACTTGTAGTTCATTAATATGACTCAGTACTTAAATGTATAGTTACACTGTAACAAGGACACCTTAAAATAAAGTGTAACCAAAAACGCTGGATGGAAACGTCAAGATGTGCATCAATTCTAAAAATGCGCATTAAAAAAAACTTATGCGCACAATTGAGTAGGATAAACTTTTTATCCACTAAGACAAAGTGTGCATAAACTACGATGGAAACACATTTACCGAATAAATTCCTTCATGCACATCAAAAGAGTCATGTGACTGCACGATAACTTGACTAACCAGCAGACCGATCTCATTGAAGCTTCTCCTTAGTCTCAGTTTTGTTTGTCATTTTATTCTCTTTGACTCGTTGGATGGAAACGGTGCTTTATTCACAAATGTTTTATGCGATATTCCAGTTTGTATTTAATTGTGCTAAAGTATACGTCAGGTACACTTTAAATATCTGGCATTTAAAGACCGATGTTATTCAGAGATCGTACGATCCTCATCAGTAGTGACATTAAAACACATTTTAGGTTTAATATTAAGAAATGTGCATTGTGCACAAGTAGTACTCCAAATAAAGTTTAATTATCTTTTTTATATCAGTAAGTCTCGAGCGACGTGTCAGTAAATATGATAATAGATTTGAACTTTACTACTGCATTTTAAATATATAACTTTTTTACTAGGGTTGCTATATATTTGCGCAGTTTTAGCCAAATTGTGCATCTGTACACAAGCATGACAAACCTGCATCTTAAGTCTGAGTTTGTAGCGGGTGCTGTGAGCGCTGTGGCTGAGTGTTGTGTGTGTTTGTGCCGCACAGAGAAGCTGACGCAGGCGTGGAAGGAGGCGGGTCTGGAGCTGAAGCCGCACTCCTCCGCCGAGTGTAACTTCTGCCGGCAGCCGCTGCACTTCCAGCTGATGAGCGAGAGAGAGAAGTCCTACTTCAGCGGCCTGAGCCAGCCCATATCCGCCTGCGGCTGACGACACTCATCCAGAGCACAGCTCCGTCTGCATCACATCCAGAGAATACATAGTTAGACCTCTTGATCGGTGTATGTATGTATTTTGTTAACAGAGTAAATCTGAAGTATTTTATATTTAAAGATGTTCGACTGATCTAGGCCAGTCGTATTTGATCAAATAAGCATTATGGATGGATTTGAATAAACTGATGACACACACACACACCGGCTCTGTTTATTGTGGTTGTTTGCGCTGGAGAAGTGGCTGTTAAATCAGCGCTGGATGATTGTGAAGATGTTGACCTGTTTCTCGCTGCTGTTTGGGCCTCCGTAACAGGCACACTAACCTGGAGCTGCAGCGGTCACGTAACAAACGGGTCGTGTGCTGGAAACAGGTGTGTGTGACGTCACCATCTGACCCACATCAGAGAACGGGAAGCTCAGGGAACACTGTGCTTTCCAGATGAGCGCATGTCTCCTGTGATCGTCACATGAGTCCGGAGCCAATGAAAGAGGAACTGCAGCGAGCCAGCATCACAGCATCATGATTAACGCCTCTCAGACGTCAGCTGAGTTTCAACCAGTCACTTCCTAATTTGGTGAAGTGTGTCACATGGTACACAATTTTCTGAGAAAATGAGTGTGGGAAGCCATTAAATAAAATTACTTTGATTTGAGTCTACGTAGGAAACTAGGGCTGGGGAAAATAACTTGCTTGTTTCCTCAAATACTATTTGGAGTTCAAATCCTGCATAAAAAATGTTGGTACCAAATATTTTTAATAAGTAATTTCATTACTTTATCATGAAATTGAATATGCAAACTGTATATATATATATATATATATATATATGGGCGCAATTTGGACATTTTCACTTAGGGGTGTACTCACTTTTGTGGCCAGCGGTTTAGACATTAATGGCTGTGTGTTGAGTTATTTTGAGAGGACAGCAAATTTACACTGTTATACAAGCTGTACACTCACTACTTTACATTGTAGCAAAGTGTCATTTCTTCAGTGTTGTCACATGAAAAGATATAATAACACATTTACAAAAATGTGAGGGGTGTACTCACTTCTGTGAGATACTGTATATATATATATGGGTGAAAAATAAAAAAACGAGTACTGACAGAAACATCACCAAACACAGCCACAGATGGGAAGTCTCGTGTTGTCAGTGTTGATACGAGTGATACTTGGTAAAAGATGCCATTGAACAAACATGTATCAAATATTTAAAATGCTGTCTTTGTTGTTTCCACACTCTTCTGGAAGCTCGATGTGAAAATAAGTTATAATTTTATCAATGTAATTTTAAAAAGAAGCTTAATTGATTGCCAGCCCTATAGGACACACAGATGTAAGATGCTTGTTTGAATAGCATCTCCATGACAGAAACGACCAGAAGTGTGTGATTGCTCCGCGCTCAGCCGCTGAAGATCAGCATGTAGTCGACGGATTGTGTTTCTGTCAGATCAAGCTGTGTTTGTGCTGACAGACAGACGCTCTTCAGAGCACTAGTGTCTAATACAAACCTGTCTGAGACAATCATTTTGCTTTCTTTGCTCAACAAATAAGGCTAACACACACTGCCATTCAACAGTTCAGATTTATTGTTCTTTTTTAAGAATACTGTTATTCAGTAAGGACATTAAATTGATCAAAAGTGACAGTAAAGACATTTATAATGTTACAGAATATTTATATTTCAAATAAAATGTATCACAGTTTCCACAAAGATATTGTGCAGCACAACTGTTTTCAACATTGATAATAATCAGAAATGTTTCTTGAGCAGCAGCATATTATACTGATTTCTGAAGATCAGATCATGTGACACTGAAGACTGAAGTAATGGCTGCTGAAAATTCAGCTTTTGCCATATATTTCAAATAAAATGTATCACAGTTTCCACAAAGATATTGTGCAGCACAACTGTTTTCAACATTGATAATAATCAGAAATGTTTCTTGAGCAGCAGCATATTATACTGATTTCTGAAGATCATGTGACACTGAAGACTGCAGTAATGATGCTGAAAATACAGCTGCGCATCACAGAAATACATTACAGTTTAACAGATATTCACATAGAAAACAGATGTTTTAAATTGAAATAATATTTCACGATATTATTAGTATTCCTGACTTTCTCATCAAATAAATGCTGCTTTGGTGAGCAGAAGAGACTTCTTTTAAAAACATGAAAAAATCTTGCCAACCCCAAAGAGTAGTATGGGATGCTACCATAATTTAAATATTAAACCAGTTCGATTTTTTTGCATTACAGTAATTAAAATTTATTTTCATTATTTATTTGGTCCCACTTTATATTAGGTGGCCTTATTTACATTTAAATTAATCATTACAATGCAGATACACGTATTGTGTACATACACATTTTTACACTGTAACTTATATTTAAAAAAAAATACCTGCATGCAATTACATCTGCAATTATATTTATAGTTACACTTTTGACCCTTACACCTTAACCCACCCTTAAACATTTACATTTAGTCATTTAGCAGACGCTTTTATCCAAATGAGGACAATGGAAGCAATCAAAATCAACTAAAATGTTGATTAAAAAGGCTAGAATGACAACTCAGGAGCCTTTTTTCCACATTCTCTTTGCTCCACGTGAAGTGTGTTGTGCACATGTTTTGGACAGGTTCTCTGCCAAACACTCGTTAAAGCATCATCTCATGCTGACGTCTGCGCTCAACACACACCGAATGAATCTCTCTTCCTCCCTCAGCAGCCCTCAATGAGCAGCATGACAGGAAACACTTGCCGCTTCACTTCCTCCTTCATCTGCAGGTGTCAAACACACGTGATGTGCAGATCTCCAGCACTCACAGCTCGGGCTCATTTACATCAAAGCCAGTCGCTGCTCTAATCCGCCGCTGGCGAACACACACCTGAGGCCGGGAACAATGTGCCTTTCACGGAGGAAATTCCCACATGCTTTCGCGCAGAGTTTTTGTGCATTGTATCTGTGTGAAAGCAGGCAGAGCTCATTAAGGCGTGTTTGTCCAGGCCCGTCTGGTATGTGGTCATGTGACTCCGCAGGTCACGTAGGCCTCTCTCCAGCAGAAAGCTCAGAGTGACCCGCAGTCACGCTAACACACACGTACTGTATTCACAAAGCTGTTATTGTTTGGGTTTTCTGTAATATGAAAGTAATGCATCGTCACAGTGAAACTAATGTCATTATCCGTCACAACTGCAGAAAATCCAAGTGTAGTCAGACACGTCTACGGTTCGTTTGAGACGATTATGAAGTCAAATGTCAAGCACATGATAATCAGTCAAGTGATTCTTCATGGAGCTGCTCTGTAGAGGCCTCGACACTCACGAGAGCTGTCATCATGACCCTTACGAACAAAAACATATATGTGAATATAT